TACGGTTATGAATCGTGGACCATGAGATAGGCAACTGAAATGGGCTTTCTGAGACGATTCACTGGGCTCATGCATCTACGTGGTTTGGAAAAGAGAGAGAGCCTTGGTGTATAGCCGCTGCTTCTTCAGATTGAAAAGTCACAACTGCAATGATATTGATACGTCTTGTGAATTTTCGTCAAAAAGGAAAGCGAAACAGCTACTACTTGTCCAATCGACCGATCGAAGGCGTTTAGAAATCTCCTGGGGCAAGTTCTCGACACACTGCTTTAGATTCATGTTATCTTCTGCCGCAGCTGAAGTACTGGCACAGAACTGGGAACGTTGGAGACACTGTCTAACTTGCCTGACTCCGTCATCCGAAAAGATAGCGGTCATCAGAATTGACTCATGCTGTGTGATCGAACGATTAACAGATCTGAGGCAAGTATTTCATTTTCTTTCAGTCATCAGATACCGATCGCTGCTTTTTTATACTTGTTGAGATCACCTTGAGCCCTTCGCATAAGCAGTACGTTTCCGATTTGTGTATTCGCAGCTTTGCAACTCTTTATCTATAAGGTACCGGTTACAGCATCGTAGAAAAATAGGACATATTACTCTAAAAACAGATTTGCTTCTGCATTGTTTCTCCATGTTGCATACTGGCTTCCTGATCGACATCTGTAGTGTTTAGCCTCCCACACGAGAAGTTCGTGAGCTAGAAAAAGGGGTGTATGTTCACTTATTTGTGAGTGAGTTAGCCCAGTTTGTCTAACAGGGCCGACGTCGTTTTCTTAATTTCCACATTTAACGAGTTCACCTGTGCCCGGAAGAGAATGGAGTCATTCCTTACATCTTCCTGCCGTTTAACCGCCATTATGCCCACGCTGCTGCACTCAGTGTAGACGTCTTTCTTGCTCCATCGTTAGACCAACTGTTTCCATGCCGTACAATAGCAACGACTGGGGAAGCAGACTACAGGCTGATTTATATTTTATAGAAAAAAGACTCCTTTCCCGGCCCAAATATTTTACAGATTTCCACAAGCATTCAAAGCTCGAGCGATTTTCGTGTTTAAATCTCATTAGATGGTACCACCGATGGAGATGATGAAATCGAGATGCTAAAATTGATTTTATTTATAGCATTCTGCAAAATATCTGACGGTCTATCGGCAAACATTTTAATTTTAACGACGTACGTTCTCTGTCGAAGCAGTTACTGGTCAAAACATTCCGAGTTATGTTTTTCCGCATACTGGACGCCACTAATCTTGGACAAGCGAAGCTGTGAATTTTACCGCACTCAACATGTTCAACAAGAATAAAGCGTTTACGTTGATTTTGCAACTGTTCTTTTTAATCGCGCTTATTTAGTTCTATCTGTTTGTCGATCTTCCGTTTGACTCTCCCAAATGAAAAACCGTAGATGACGAAAGTCGCCAGGTCAGATATAAACGACGGGAAGTACGCGAAAGGAAGCATGATAATTTTCGAGTTAAGTCCTATAAAACAGCGATATTTCGGGAAACGAGCAGTGATCGCATTCATGTACGCTTCTACCACCAGCGATGTATTTTTGCAGCAGAAACTCTCCAGTAGAAATTCTTGACCTTTATAACCTAAAAGAACTATTAAAGTATATTCTAAATCTGACCATCTTTATGACACCTTGTGTTATAAAGTTTTCGTCGTATTCATCCAAAATGGATTCGTCTAAAGCTTTGACGCGTTGTTTCCACTGATGTTGTTTTCTTCTGGGATCCGTCAAAGCGGTACAGAAAAAGCCAGGTTCTAATATGTATATCCCCACGCCCCATGGACTCAATTCTCTCCTGTAAAGACAGTTATATTTTAGCGTCTTATTTCAAAGCAAACCTGATGATGTCGCAGTACGCTTCGAGCGCGAATTTTGATGCACAATAAGGCCCAGTCATTGGAACAGCCACTCGACCGAGAACACTTGTCATGAAGACGAATCTACCTCTGCTTTTCTTAATTAACGGTTTGAACGACTGCGTTATTCGAACGGTTCCAAAAAAGTTGACTTCCATCACGTTCTTATAGTCTTCAACAGTCATCCAGTCATCGTAGAACTCCGCACCAGACACGCCTGCGTTGTTCACTACAGCCCATAGTTCTGAAGACAAGTTTTAAGAAACAGTTTGAACAAATGGAGGACATAAACGTGCAGGCATCGATACTTCCGTTATGATGTACTTACATGCTTTTCCAAGAACGACAGCGGTTCGGAATAAACCCATGATGTATTAATAAGGTTTATTAATTAAAGGCATCTCGTCTTTGGAGCGGTGCAGTTTGTTTTGTCAAAATTCATTTTGTTTATATAGTCTCAAGTTCATGCCGATTCAGTGCCAGTGGGTATCGAAATCGAGCTTACACCTTTCGCTGATTATTATGTTGGATAATCAGCTGTCAGATGGGTAAATGTCATGTTCAGTAGTAAATTGCTTCGCTCGCTTCGGAAACGTGGCCTTACACGTCGTCTGTTTTGGCATAACCAGACCAGAAATATCATACTCTCTCTATTATTCACAAGTCAGTAGCTTACTACCCTTTTTCTTGGCTGGTTGCGCCAAAGAAACTT